GTGATTGATCAGATCCTAAAGGGGAGGGATGAGGAGGGTGACAAGAGACGGTGACAAGGGATGGTGACAAGGGACGGTGACAAGGGAGCCTGGCACAGGGAAAAGGTCCAGGAGAGGGAAACAGAAAGGGTGGAGGAGGAAAGGAGAGAGGTGGGGAATCAGTGAGGAGAACCATGGGCAGAGCTGGAGGGGAAGGAGAAGAGCAGGAGTAAAACAGGAACATGAGCCAGTACAGGTCAGCACTGCCAGAGCTGTGAACAATGAAGGGATTTCTGCCCAGCTAAATCTAAATCTGCCTTTGGAGCAGCCAGGAGGGATGAAAATGGKATGAAAGGAGGTGAGGCTGGAGTTCTTGGCTTTAGGAAAGGGTTGAAGAAGAGGCTCTCACCTGCACCCTTGGTGGTGACCACTTTGGGCTTGCTGCGAGCGCCGTCTCCCTTCATGGTGTAGGCGGCCACGGTGATGGAGTAGGCAGTCTCCGGCTGGAGCCCAGCAATGACCATTTCCTGTTCGCCAGAGGCCAAAGGGAAACGGTGTCAGCGTCCAGCCCCACAGCCAGGACAGAGCTCCCCTCCTGGCAGGGGCTCAGCCCTTTGCCAGCATGCAAGGACACCGAACCCCAGAGCAGGGACACGCTGGGGTGGCAGCTCCGGGATGGGAACGGGCACAAAGGGCACAGCCCTGGTGAGAGGGGAAGCTCTGCACAGCTCTGCAAGCACAGCCTGGCTCCCCAACCCTGAGCAAGGCATCCTCCTTCCTTCCTCCTCCTCATCTGCCTCTCCCACATCCCCTGGCTGCACACAAACCACTTCAGCTGGCGCTCCCTTCAAAGCTTTCCGTGGCGTGGCCTCAGAGGTTTTCAGGGAGATTACACTTTTTTTCCATTTTTTTTTTTTTTTTTTGTTACCCCTCTCTCTACTCTCCTCTCCTCAGAGATATTTYTAATGCCTCCATAACATTAAAAGGATCGCTCGAACCGACACATTCCGCTCACGCTCCAGCTCCCCGCTCAATCCCACACCACTCCTTTCCCCATCCTCTATCAGCCTCCCCACACCTGGCTCCCAGGAGCTTTTATAGGAACGCTGCCCTCGACAACAGCCCATCCCCAGGAGGGAAACAGCCTTTCCAAAGGCTGTGTCGGGAAAGGAACACCCCGTGCTCGATCAAACGGGATGACAGCACATGCGGCAGGGTTTTCCCCGAGGCCCCCCGGAAAAGGAGRGAGATGGGAACGGCGTGCGTGTTTTATGGCTTTCCTCTCTCCTCACCCTCCCTTTTTGTGCTTTCAAAATTAAATCTCAGGGYGGCACTTGGGGAGGATTTGTTAGCCCTGAAAATAACTTGTTTCCCCAGCGGTGAGCTGGGGGTGGAACGGGAGAATTTGGGAAGGATTTGTTAGTCCTGAAAATAACTGTTTCCCCAATGGTGAGCTGGTTCCCTCCATGCTTTTCCCTGGTTTTATTTTACTGTAGAAAYACCAGGAAAATTCAAGCCTCTGAGTGGGGCCACTCAGAGGTTTTTGAAACTTTTGAAACACCCGGAACAGCAGAATTTGGGCATTTTGCTTGGAGAGTTTGGAAGCTGTGAGCTGCACAGACAGCAAATAAAGAATCCTGTTCTGATCCCACACCTGCYACTGAGTTTTATTAAGATTTTAGGCTTTGCCTTGAATAAAACTCATTCTCCATCCCTCAAAGGGAGGCCCCTCACCTGGGCAGGGCTCTTGGCAATCCCCAGGAGACAAAACCACAACCAGTTTGGCCGTGTGTCATCTCAGGACCCTGCCATTCCATGGGGAAAATGCCTTCTCCTGCAGCAGGACTTGGGAAAACATTCATCATTTGAGYAGAAATAACAAATGCCAAACAGCCAAGATGATTTTAAGGTACTTCAAAGGTAAAAGCACCAATAATGACTCAGTGCTTTGCATCAGTGAGTTTCTAAGAACCCTTTGAGGATACAAAGGCATTTGTTCATGCCCTGATAGCTCAGGACTCGTGGATTTTGAATTCCCAAAGCTCCCCAGCCTATCTTTTCCAGACACAGAGGTGTTGCAAAGCAACCCCTCCGAGCACCCTGGTCTGGTGGTTGGAAAAATATGGCCTTTAAGGTCTTTTCCAATCTGAATTATTTTAGGATTCTCAGCGCCCAAGGCAGTCCTGAACTCAATATTCCATCTGCCTCCCCACAGAGGAGCAGCAGACCCATCTTTCCTTCAGAGCCAGAGGGGAAAACCCTGTGGGATTGTGTGGTGACAAACACCACGATCACAGAGGGTCACAGAGCGGTGACAGGGAGGGGACAGTGCAAGGGAACACCAAA